GATATCCATATTTGTGCCCATTCCAAAAAAAGGTGATCCAATAGATAGCAGAAATTATTGAACCATGTCATCAATATTACATGCATGTAAAATTTTGCTGAAAATAATTAAAAAATGGTTGTAGCAGTGTATTGAGAGGGAATTGCCAGAAATTCAAGCCAGATTCAGGAGAGAATGTGGAATGAAGGATATCATTGGTGATATCAAGTGAACCTTGACCAAAAGCAAAGAATACTAGAAAGATGTTTGCCTGTGTTTTATTGACTATGCAAAGCCATTCAACTGTGTGGGTCATAACAAATAATGGATAACATTGCAAAGAATGGGAATTCCAAAACACTTAATCGTGCTCATGAAGAACTTGTACATATACTAACAAGGGGATAGATACTATGTGGTTTAAAATCAGGAAATGTATACATCAGGATTGTATCCTTTCACCATACTTATTCAATCTGTATGCTGAGCAAATAATCCAAGAAGCTGGACTATATGAAGAGGAATGTAGCATCAGGATTAGAGGAAGACTCACTAACAATCTGCAATATGCAGATGACACAACCTTCCTTGCTTGCTGCAAGAGTAGAAGACTTGAAGCACTTACTGATGAAGATCAAAGACGGTAGCCTTCAGTGTGGATTGCACCTCAACACAAAGAAAACGAAAATCCTCACAACTGGACCAAAAAGCACCATCACGATAAATGGAGAAAAGAATGAAGTTGTCAAGGATTTCATTTTATTTGGATCCATAATCAATGCCTATGGAAGCAGCAGTCAAGAAATCAAATGACTTATCACATTGGCATATCTGATGGAAAAGACCTTTTTAAAGTGTTAAAGAGCAAAGATGGCACTTTGAAGACTAAGGTGCACCTGACCCAAGGCATGGTATTTTCAATAGCTTATAGGCATGTGAAAGCTGGACAATGAATAGGGAAGACCAAAGAAGAATTGATGCATTTGAATTGTGGTGTTGGTGTAGAATATTGTGCCTAAGGCACTTGACTTCTAACCAGAGGGCTGGCGGTTCAAAATCACCAGCCACTCCTTGGAAAGAAGGTTGGGCAATCTACTTCCACAGTGATATTGCCTCGGAAACTAAGGAGAGGTCGCTATGAGTGGGGGCCAACTGGATGGCACATAACAACAACAACAACACCATCAGAAGAAAGAACAAATCTGTCTTGGAAAAGGTACAGCTGGATGCCAGACTTCATCTCACGTACTTTGGTCATGTTGTTAGAAGGTACCAATGCCTGGAAAAGGGTATCGTGTTTGGTAAAGTGGAGGGTCCGTGAAAGAAGGGAAGACCTCAGTAAGAAGGACCAACACAGCGGCTGCAGTAGTGGGCTCAAGCATGGCAACGATTGTGAGGATGGGACAGGACCAGGTAGCATCTCGTTCTGTTGTATACAGGGTCGCTCTGTGTTGGAGCCAACTCACCAGCACCTAACAACACAACAGCTAATCCAGTATGCCCTCGTGTTAACTGACAGCATCTTTAAAGGTCCTGTTTCCAAACAAGATCACATTTTCAGGTACCAGAGGTTCTAACTTCCACATACCTTTTCAGGGACAATTCAATCCATAACAAAGACCCTGAAAGAGAGGATGATGATAATTGTTATATACATAGGTTTCTTTAGGATAAAACTCACCAGTCTCACTGCCATCAAGTCAATTGACTCATAGTGACCCCCTTTGGATTTCTGAGGCAGTAAATCTTTATGGAAGTAGATTGCCCAGTTTTCTTTCCACAGAGTGTATGGTGGGTTTGAACCGCCACCCTTCTGGTTAGCAGTCAAATGCCTTAGGCACTGAGCTAGAGAGTGACACTCAAATTCATGTTGAATGGATTGGAGTTGGGAAGAGTCTGAAAAGGGAGTGAACAATTTGTATTTGAGGTCCCAATAATAAATAAATGTAAGCTTAGAGTGGTTACGAATTAGCTTAAGGGAAGAATAGGAGTTAAATTTAGAGGTTCAGTCTCAGCAGTTTCAAGTGGTACGTTTTTAAATGACACCATAATTGTGGATGAGTAAAGTGGAATGTATATGAAAATAAATTTTCAGCCAGCTGAGGATCTGACTTAGCAAATTGGAAGAATTGATCAATGTAACTACTCAAGTCATTTAGGATTTTTATTACAGCGACTGGAATGTTCTATCATTATCACTGTTTTTTTTTTTTTTTAATGAAAAATGTCTTCCCTTTTTTCAAGATCTGATTTCTCCTTCTAATTTTTAAGTCTTTCTTACTTTTCTGTAAATTCTTTACAGCACTTTTAAGTCTTGCATGGAACCAGAAGAATTCTGTACCTTTAAAACAAACACCTGACAGAATTTTATTTTATAGGGAAAATTGTTGTTGCTGTTATGTGCTGTCGACTCATAGCAACCCCTCCTTAGGTTTCCAAGGCGGTGTCACTATGGAAGTAGATTGCCCAACCTTCCTTCCCAGGAGTGGCTGGTGGGTTTGAACCGCCAGCCTTCTGGTTAACAGTCAAGTGCCTTAGGCACTATGCTACCAGAGCTCTTTGTATGGAAAATAGGAAATTTAAATGTAAAGACAGGATTGAGTGTTTACAAATAATCATTTATTTTGTCTTCAACCTATGAAAATGTAAGATTTTAGCAACCTGTTGAAATATATCATCTTAAAGTTTCAGGTAGTTTCACTTCCATGTAATTAATATGTGGAAGATGGGCGTTCTCTCCTGATACCCTTCGCCTAACTCAAGCTTCCAGTTAACCTCTGTTTTTGACATGGTTGGACTGGCAGGTGTGGTAATTCTGTGAGGGATATTGTCAGCATTAGCAGAGTTCCTATGTAACAGTGAGCTGTAATGAGTGGCATTTGTAGGTAAGGGAGAAATGAGAAGAAGTCCCAGACTCTTGGTGGGGCTGATGGTGACAACTTAAGGCTTTGAAAGCTAACAGAAACATGATCAGACCTCTTTGAGAAGCTCATGTTGATCTGATGTCACTTTCGTTGTCATACCCTGATTCTTTAATGACTACAATTTCTTCCCTCCACCTTTTACCGTTTTTCAAAATACATTGCCTGGGTAGCTCACTCTTTTCTTATGTAAATGTTCTTTTCATTCTTTACTCTAGTTCCTGGGCATCCACTTTATCCTGAACTCTGACAAGGAGTAGCTGAACATCTGTCCTAGAAAAACTGATGCATTTGGCCAAGAGAAACTTTGTTTTGGGGGGTAATATTTGCTCCAGGCATGATCTTTCAGTGTTATTTCTGTCACCTTCAAATAAATAGCCAAGTCATTAAACAGAAGAAAAAATACATGCTTCCAAACAAATCTTAAATCATAGCAAGGGAGTTCCAGACCATGCCTTCTGTTTTATAAACAGCTAGTATATTTTTAGCCAATGAATCTACTGAGATAAATCAGTGACTTTATGTAACATTCTATAATGTTTTAATGGACATTTTATGATTTCACATCAATTTTGTTTTGGTGTATTAATTTCTCTGGTTTATATTTTAATGCCAACTTGTTAACAATTATTTTTAAAGAAATTACATAAATTGGACTACTCTCAATGAATTATTTAATGTCTTGCCTGAATTAAATGGGAACTGGTGGTTTATTCTTTATGAAAAGAAATATGCATCAATCATTTAAGCCCCAATAATATTTTTTAAGCTTTCTTAGGGAAATGGCATCCTGTTCAAGTATTGATAATATTCTTGTGTGAAATGGGCCTTTCTTTCTTTTTCTTCTCATTCTTTTTAATGATTTGGAAAGGCCAATGTCTTATTTGTTGCATTTTTCTTTCAGATGGAACCCCTCTGAGCTGGTGGGTTGGAAGAACCAACGAAGTGCAGACTTACTGGGGAGGTTCTTTGCCTGATCCTAAAAAATGTGCTTGTGGATTTGAGGGAAACTGCATTGATTCTCAATATTACTGCAACTGTGATGCCGACCGGAATGAATGGTGATTTCCTTATGCAAGATAGTGTTTTTGTTTTTTATTAACCATCTCCAAATATGTGTAGTTGGGCAGGTATTAGATAAGATAGTGCAATTAGGAAATAATATGAAACATGGTACAACCAATGTGAATCCTAAATGTACAAGGCTTTTTACTTGATTTTTGTGTAATGGACTTGAGGTCATGTGCATTTTAATTTTCCAATATGATGGAACAGAAACATCTGCTACATGTTTCCTATTAATGGCAAGTAAGTTGTCATTCACTTTAACGGTAAATGTAATTAGTCCTTCTTTTATTCACAAACTGTGTTTATAGTCAGTAACTAGTAAAAACCCATGTTTAGATAAGTTGCCAATTAAACTTTAAACATACAAACTTAGAATTTCCCATAATTATTTTAACATGTAATTCTTTCTATGTTTTTAAAGGACAAACTCTGCCATAAAGGTCTGACGTTCTGTGGATCATATTTTTTAAAAAGGCAATCTCTAACATTTTAGGGATTTGAAAATTGAACTTAAAATAATCTTATAAACAGATAAAAAGTCTTTTCTATATGATATCCTTTATCTGAAAAGTTTTAAAAAAATAATAATTAATTTTATTTGAGACCAGAGTTAGAATATGTTGATTTTTTGGGTTATTTGGAAAGTCAAAATGTTTTGAAGTTTTCAAATTCATATTTCAATACCCCGTGTGGATATCTCACATCACTAAACAATTTGACCTGCACAGAAAAATACTGGATTTGAATGTTAAGCCAGTCTCGTTATAACTATGATTGTTTTGGTTACAGAATACATATTAATTCCTGTGATCATTCCACTGCTAATTGAGCTTGAAATCTGACCTGCATTAATATTCCATTTATTTACTTAGCAAACATTGAGACTATGTTTAAAAAAAAAACAAACCACTAGCAGACTCTTTTAGGATACCTGGCAGGAGGCGTCAGGTCCTCAGTCTGCAGTCATGATTGTTCTCTGATAGCAGGTTTGCCATGAAGAATATTCTATCTCTTACTGACACTCTAATTTTCCAAAATCCTAATCTATTTCTAAGGCACTCTTTCTCATTACTGTCACATAAAAGTGCCTACAGAGTAATATCATATTTTAAAATATGAGTGAAGTGTTAATAGCAATGCTTAACAGAAAAAAAAATTTTGACATAATCACCAATAATCCTTCATTGCCTCCAAAACCTATCACTAATTAAAAATACCTTTTAAAATGAAGAGTTTGAAATTTCTCATATTAAATTTTACTTATGGCAGAGTAGCTTGAACAACCCAACCACAGATAACAGTTATAACCAAGAAAATTATTTATTAAAAGGACAACTACTTGAAGTAGGTGGAGAGCAGCTAAAAGCTGGCAGAAGCTACCAGGGGTGGGTCCTGCAGAGCCTAGAAAGAACCCCAGAGGGGAGATGGATGTTTATAAGGCTTGTCTATCGCAGTAGTCATCAGATCACACGCACTGTGAGGTGCCTAGAATTCAAAGAGAATACTAGATTTGTTTGTTTTTTTTTTTTTTGGCTTGTGTTATCAGAGGACAGAGTTTGGTGCTGCCAGAATGACTAGAGATTGAGGAGTCCATCCTGGAAATAAGAAAGCAGTCGTGGGGGGTGGAGCCCAATATAATCACACCCTTCAGATCCCCGTCTGACCCCTGACCCAAACAAAACTACAGCTGGAGGAATGTAAAAAGCTATAGAGATTTCAACTGCTTCTGTGAGAGGGGAGTTGGAATTTGGAGTTTTGAGTCCCACTCACTGAGATGGGGAGCCCTGGTGGTGCAATGTTTAAGCACTCGCCTGCTAACCCAGAGGTTGGTGATGTAAAGCCAGCGGCTGCCCCATGGGAGAAAAGACCTGGTCATCCGTTCCCATGAAGATTTGCAGCCTAAGAAACCACAGGGGGCAGTTCTACTCTGCGCTGTAGGTGCTCAGTGAGCTGCAATTGACGTGAAGGCACACAACCGCAGCAGGAACAGTTTAGGTGAACTTTGTCAATCCCTCACTTTGCATGAAAACTCCAGAATGTCCACCTATGTGCGGCAAAGACCATGTCCCCAAACTGAGGGACATATATGGAAACTAAGAGCCCTATGTCAATCATTACACTAAATGTCAACGGATTAACCAGTCCAGTTAAAAGGGAGAAAACAGCTAAGTGAATTTAAAAATTACTAACTATATTCTGTCTGTGGAAGATGTTAAAATGTTGCTACGTGAGAAACGCTCAGAGGAGCAGTTCATCCTTTCTCTCTTGTGTGTGCAGATTTGGCTCTGACCGTCTGGGTTTTGAACTACAAAGAGGATTGTTGTTTATTTTATAATTACCTTCATCAGAATAATTTCCCGAGTTTTGTTGTTGCTTCTGTTTTATAGGACCAATGACACTGGATTCCTTTCTTACAAAGAACACCTGCCAGTAACTAAGATAGTGATTACAGATACAGGCCGACCGCATTCGGAAGCCGCTTATAAATTGGGGCCTCTCCTCTGCCAGGGAGACAGTAAGTAGTGGCAACGCGTGGTAATCATACCTGAGCAAAGTCATGCAACTGGCTGTCATCTTTCTGATACTAATTAAGCAGACTACTATTATGAAAATGCATAATAATGCCTGAAATACTGTTTTAGTCAGTCAACAGTATAATACCAATATGGAGCACCAAGCCCTGTGAAAAGTACAGTGGTAGAAAACCCTGTTAAGATTCCTAGAGACAGAAACTGCTAAGCATTTTGGTCTGAGTGGCTTGTATATGCATTGCAGCACTCCTAAATCTGCATGCCATTATCCACATACAAAAGCCTCAAAGCAGCGCAAAATGGTTAAGAATGCACGGGAGTCTTTGTTGGGTCTAGAGTGAAATTAGTACATTAATGGAATCAAATGTCAGTTTGTTCAAATATATTCAGCTTTTAATCTCAAATTTTGCTTTTCTGCGTGTGTGTGTGTGTGTGTATGGGGAGCTCTGGTGGTGTAGTACCTAAGGCACTTGACTACTAACCAAAAGCATGGCAGTTTAAAGGCACCAGCCACTCCTCGGAAGGAAGGTTGGGCAATCTACTTCCGTAGAGATACCACCTCGGAAACCCAAGGAGGGGTCGCCATGAGTCGATACTGGCTCGACGGCAGTGAGTTATTTTGTGTGTGTATATGTGTGCATGTGTTTTACTTTCAAGCAATGAGATATAATGTTTTATATATTCAGTGTATGAATGTTCTAAGTCAGAGTTTTAAAACCCCAATATGGTTTCACAGAAAATACATTCTTTGGGCAGGAATGAAATGAGCCTATGGACCGATTCATAGATTGTGCACCTTATTGAAATCAGATAGAGACAGACACATTGATTATTTATGCCTTTGGTTATTTCCAGAACCTAAAATAGAAATAAAAGAAATATTTGTTTACATTAAAAGCATACCCTTAAATAAAATTTTATTCTAGGGCCTCAAGTCAGCACAGGAGGGGATGGTCTGACAGTCCAGTGGATTTATGGAGACACATAGCAGAAGTTGCTTAGTTTAAAAGCAAAGATGACCCTTGCCCATAAAAATGTATATATTCAGTATAAACACGGTTTGCCATTATGCCCACTATCCCTGATCTTTATCACCTTGTACTCTCTGCTCTGCTAGCAAGACTTGCACAATCACATGGAGATGATATAGGGTATTTCATGGAGGGGAAAAAAACATGCAAAGAGATGAAGTTGTCAACTGAGGAGGCATCTGGGAGAGTGCATTTTGTCCGGCTACAGAGTTTTTTCTGTGCGTCACATGCATGTTTTATTTTCGACCGTCGTTGTAAACCTTCCAACACCTGCCCAGCTTCCTCTGTCCTCCCCACTGCATTCGCCACAGGCCCTGGGTAATTGGGCTACTTCGACGACATCACTATCAGTTCTACACCTTAGAGTTCTTCTCTCCCAGACCTCTCACCAAGAGCTTAAGCACACAGCACCTTTTCGCTCAGAGCATGGTTCTTGATTCGAGGCTGTCTTGTTCCCCCAGTGGACATTTGGCAATGTCTGGAGACATTTTTGGTGTCATGATTGTGAGAGATTGGAGCAGTGCTATGGGCTGCTAATGGGTAGAGGCCAGGGATGCTGCTAACATCTTACAAGGCACAAGGCAGCCTTCTGCAACAAAGAATTATCTGCTCCAAGATGTCAGTAGTGCTGAGGGTGAAAAACTTTGATTCAGCGTATTGAACTATTGTGACCATGGGGCTTCAAAGCATGAGTAACAACATTAAGAACTTACAAATATTCTCAAATACTGAACCAAAAAAACTAAAGCAGTTGTCATCCAGTTGATTCTAACTCATGGCAACCCCATGTTTATCAGAGTAGAACTGTACTCCATAGGGTTTTTGTTGGCTGTAACCTATTACACAGGGCATACCTGCTGCAAAAGACCTCTGTAAAGTGTTGAAGAGCAAAGATGTTACTTTGAAGACTAAGGTATGCCTAACCCAAGCCATGGTATTTATAACCACCTCATTTGCACGTGAAACATAGACAATGAATATGGAAGACCAAAGAAGGGTTGATGCCCTTGAATTATGGTGCTGGTGAAGAATACTGACGATACCATGGACTGACAGAAGAATGAACAAATCTGTCCTGGAAGAAGTGCAGCTGGAATGCTCCTTGGAAGTGAAGAAGGCCAGATTTCATCTCATCTACTTTGGTCATGCTGTCAGAAGGGACCATTCCCTGGAGAAAGGTACTATGCTTGGTAAAGTGGAGGGTCAGCGGAAAAGGGGAAGGCCCTCAATGAGATGAACTGACACATTGACTGCAACAGTGGGCTCAGGTATAGCAAGGATTGTGAGGATGGGGCACAACCAGGCAATGTTTCGTTCTGTTGTACATGGGGTCACTATGAGTTGGAACTGACTCAACGGCATCAACAACAGCGATGTAACCTTTTGGAAGCAGGTTGCCTGGCCTTCCCTCTGAGCCTCATCTGGGTGCATTTGCACCACCCACTTTTCAGTTAGGAGTCAAACACTTAATTGTTTGCCTCACCTAGGGGCTCCTGGGAACAGTCAGACTGGGTGTGTTTCCTTTCCCTCGGAATCCTAGCCAGTGTTCCTTCTGCTTCTGGCATTAGATGTTGCTCTGGAGACATCTGAGGACAAACATACTTTTCCACCTTGTAAGTGACTTTCTTTTTCTGTCTGAGCACTTGAAGGAATAATTTTCCTTAAAGGTCAGGAATTTAATGAGAACTGTCTCAGAGTTGTGTAGGTATGGTATTCATTTTCCCTGAAACTGGATGTAATGTGGTAAGATGTACATGGATATTTTATAGGCCATTGAAGGAGTTGTTACAAACTTAATCTTCATTTTTGTTCTCAGTTCATTAATCTGAAGAAAAGTCTGTTTCTTCTAGCTCTTTGCCACTAGAATTTTTCAGTCTATTTTATTAAATGTACATCTTCTCGGTGAATTCATTGTATTGAAATTTTGTGTTAAGTCAAAGCACCTCTCAAATGTATATAGTTAGAAAAGATGGTTGTAAGTTTCTTATTCCAGGAACACTGGAATCATTGAGATTAGTTTCTTCATTTTGTCTGCATCGACCAGTCCAGCTGTCAGAGAAATCACAGCTGCCCAGAATGCATTAAATAATCGAAGGTCCATGTAGGCAATAAATAACTTTGCAGGAGCTGGACCTTAGACTCGAAGGGGATACTGACTAGTCATCTGGCTAATTTCTCTTCCATTTGACAGGTTGCTTTTGCATCTGCTGACTACTTCTAAGCCATTAACAACAAGAACAACAAAAAAGCGGGGTCAATTCCATTTATAAAATATTCAGATAAAGTTTGCAAGTGCCACTAGGTCTGATCATCCTCCAAAAGAAGGAAATGACCATTGCTTTATTTTTTACATTTTGTTTTATCCCTGTGGGTTTCCTTTCTTTAATTTTCTTGAACTTTCTCCATCTTTTCATCCCCTCCTCCTCTTCCTCTTCTTCCTCCTTTCTCTTGTCTGCCTCCTCACTTTACATATACTTCATTAGTTTCATCAACTCCTTTATAGACCCTTCTATACATGAAAATATGGTGGC